CTGTCCCTCTTGTGTGGAGAGAAGTAATAAATCGCATGCAAATTGGGAGTATTTAAAACTGATGTTCACTGCTGGGGGGACAGGTGTTTATTAGGTTGTTCGCCTCTCTCTCGGGACATATATTCCCAATATGAGCATAAACAGTAGACCACGTCCCATTCTAAGGCATACAACTCTTTCAAGTAACGTGCAAGTCAATGAAAACACCGAACATTGAATACACAACACACTAAATCCGAAAAGATACACCCAGTAGTGACGACAAAGACAATCATCGTGACTCACTCACTGACTCACTCACTTAAGGCCGCATGCTTCCAAGGGAAGCGAAGCGCCTCGGCATATGGATCTCCACGTGGTTCTGTCGTTCATCGTGACTATGTTGGAATATTTCCATACTCGCAGAACGTGTGTTTCTGTACTACGACTTATGTGTCACACATCATTTGGTTTACATACCAGCAAAATAAAAGTCAAACTATATACAGCAGCATATTTCTGATAAACCAAACTCATACATGACGAAGGTATGAAATCATCGACCTCTTGTTAAAAATATGGAATTCCATTATCCCTATATACAGCCAACGTTTTCTAAAAGCCCCAGCCATATCTTACTATTGCCAAGGGGTCACGTAGACCTGACAATATACACAGTACTGCGTTTACCTAAAAAAATCAAATATTATTTCGAATTTCAGACTTAGCATTATTTTTTTTAAAGTCAGAATCGATGGTTTCTGACTTATTTGCATTATCTTGTCTTAACTTGTCTGACATTTGTATCCTTTTCGACTTCAAAAAAATATTTTCTTCACTTTATTTGCATCTTAATCAATAGTTTGTGCTTATAAACCTGCATTTCTCCTCTCTCTCTGGTCTTTCAGTCACTGACGAAAGCTAGTGGATACTAGCTGTAACGTCTGACCGTTTCCAAAATCATATATAGTTGCTGGACTAACTGCTTTTTGGCAACACCAATGCTATATTATGCTGTTAACTGTGCTGTCATTACCCGTTTTAAAAATCACAAACAAAACGTAATGCACAGAGTATTACAGTCTTCGTATCTTACCTTAGTCACAATATATCTGAAGCGCCTTTGTTGTGTCGACAACAGTGCCTTGATCTGAAGCCACAGATATTCGTTTCCCGCAGTCTGCTTGTGGTGTTAAAATGGCCCCGATTTTATAGCCTTTTAAACTGAAGCGCCTTTGTTGTATCGACAACAGTTTCTTGACCTGATGAAGCCAGAAGTGTTCGTTACCCGCAGTCTGCTTGTGGTGTTAAAATGGCCCCGCTTTTATAGCCTTCTGAAGTGCCTCTGTTGGTCGACAACAGTGCCTTGATCGGAAGCCACGAGTGTTCGGTCCCCACAGTCTGCTTGTGGTGTTAAAATGGGCCCGCTTTAATAGCCTCTCAGCCCGCCAGTAACAGGTACATCATGCCACGAAGTTTACCACAGGTGCGTGTGGGGAAGGTATTTCTGTGAAGTTGTCATGCGCAGAAGTTCGTGGTATGTTTGCAATTTGCCTCGGAAGACAAAGGTACTTGACGTGCTTAGAATCTAAAATTACAGCAGGCTGTATCCTTGTAATGTCAGTGCTACAATCGTTAAAATACATCGGTGTCAGACAGGGGTAATTTACAAGCAGAGGCTTCGGCTCTTTTACGTGTTTTAGGCATTTTGAGGGCTTTTGGGGGATGTTTTCTTTTTTAAATCCAGCCAAATGGGTAGTAAATGGATACTGTCCTGCAAATTTGATATTTCTCAGGGCTCAATCCTGGGCCCCCTGTTTTTTCTAGTTTATATCAATGATATTGTAAAAGATTTAGTCTCCCTACCCTACCTCTTCGCCGATGATTCCTCTCTTTTACATATTGTTAATAACCCAATTGATTCCGCTGCTTGTCTAAATTCTGATTTGTTCAAAATTCTGTCGTGGGCCACTCATTGGCTCATGGAACTAAATCCTAACAAATCAGAAGAAATGACCTTTTCAGTTAAAAGAGAACCCCCAGCACTGCCACCACTGTTTCTTAATAATTGTGTTATCAAGCCTGTCCATGGACACAAACATATTGGCATCATTTTAAGTTACAAAATGTCCTGAGATACTCATATTAATCACATTGTCTCCAAGTTATCTAAAATCATTGACCTTTTCACTGGCCTCAAATTTAAACTTCCTCGTTACGTCTTGGAAACCCTATACAAATCATATATACGTCCCTGTTTAGAGTATGGCGATGTAATTTGGCACGGCACGACAAGTGCAAATGCACAGCTTATAGAACGTATACAGTATTACTGCGCCCTTGTCGTATCGGGAGCTGTCAAGGGGTCGTCCTACTCATTAACTCGGCAGGAGCTAGGGTGGGAATCATTATCTGACAGACGGCACGTCCACCGCCTTTGTTTGTTTTATAAGATTGTGAACGGTCAAAGTCGAAATTACCTGTCGGAAATATTACCTCCAGCCATATCTTCATCATGTCATTACAACCTTCGAAATAACCTGGACCTAAGACCCCTTAGTCATTCTACAAACCGGTTTGCAAATTCTTTTGTTCAATATTCTACATTCTACTGGAACAACCTTGACTTGTCAACACGATCCCTAAATTACTCTAAATTTCGTTCAGTTCTTCTCAAATCAATAAGGCCTGTTAAATTTAAGTACTTTAGTCACGGTCCTCGTTATTCTGGTGCTCTTATGGTACGCCTTCGCATTGGCACCTGCAGCCTGAATTACAGTCATGATGATGATGATGAATTACAGTCATGATGATGATGATGAATTACAGTCTCTTTACTCGTGGATTTTTGAACAGCCCAGCTTGTACCTGCGGATGCCAATGTAAAACCGTCCCACATTACCTACTCCACTGCCCCATGTACAACTCCCAACGCTCTACTCTCCTTGGCAAACTATCCAGGCTTTTAGGACACACCATAGATTTTACAACTCTTTCTGACAACGCTAAAACTGACCTTTTACTCCGTGGTAGTCCCATATTCTCATCAGTTGTTAACTCCAATATATTATTACTTACCCAAAACTTTATCACCACATCAGAACGTTTTTAAAAGATTTCAATTTCCCCCTTTGTTATCCATGTACTGTGTCCTCTTTGCCATCATTTATCATTGGGTGGGGATCCGGACTTGCGCTTTTGAATTTCCTGTATATACTGTTTTTGCCTGTCCTAAAGTTGAGTTTTTTTTTTCTTCATTATATGTATTTATTTTAGTGGTGCCGTCAACATAAGTGCTTTCCACTTGAGTGCGGCACAACCATGTCCTGTGCCTTTTTCCACGTGAATGAATAAAAAAAGAAAAAAAATTGATATTGAATTAATGCAACTGAAAGGTGTGCTTGAAGAGAAGATAGCACAATCTGTTGACACACTTCCCACACCGATCTATCGCCCTACAGCAATGGTAAATTTGTATGCAAATGGTAAATTTAAATGTCTGTGGCATCGAATGTCTTGAAATCTGATGAACAGCGTGATGAAGTGTGAATAGCATCTTTAGTTAGCATGTTTGTGTCGACAACAGTGCCTTGATCTGAAGCTATAAGTGATCGTTCCCCGCAGTCTGATTGTGGTGTTAAAATAATCCCGCTTTTATAGCCTTCCTGTCCGCCAGTAACAGATACATCGTGTCACGAAGTTTACCATGGCCTAAAACTGGCACCCTGTAATCTCCGAAAACTTGTACGTAATGGGTTTGAAGAGAAGAAAAGCTGCATATAAAGAACAGTACCATCCTGTCAATAATAGAAAATTGCAATATTGACAGGACCATATCCTGTCAATTAAAGAAAATTCACTATTGACAGGACCATCCTCTCAATTGTGCATTTTTTTCATTATTGACAGGATTCTTTCAATGCATTGTTAGTAATCAATCAGAAGCCAACATCTGCCCACATAGATTAAACTAACTGCAAAGTTGGAGTATTTGTCAATAATTGGTAATGTCAGGTAATGGTTAGAAACTTTAATCTGTCGGCAGCGATGGACTTGGCATGCCCATAGTATACTTGAAGCATTTTAAACTGGAATTTTCTTTTTCAATATTGACAGGATTTTTGTTGGTAATAACAGAAAAATTTGTACTATTGACAGGTGGTACTGTCAATAACGGAAAATTTTGCATACTATTGACAGGATGGTCCTGTACATCGTGGGTTTCTTCTGTTATTGACAGGACCATCTTGTTAATAGTAGGAAAATTTGCACTATTGACAGGAACATCCTGTCAATAACAGAAAATTTTTCAATATTTACAGGATGGTCCTGTCAATATCCACAAGCTTTTAAAAGACTGTTTCAATAAGTATCTCGTGTGGTGCCTTGCATGCTAGGACGGAGGTTCTGTGGACATTTTTCATCACTTTTCACCAACAAAGCGACTTTACTCACCCAACTCCAAGCAGCCTTCAGCAATGTCCAAAGGTACAAAGTCCAAGGGTTTGTTCGTCCTTACTTAAATCAAGTACTCTTCAGAAGCGCAATTTTCATCTCCCACTTGCTACAAACCGACCACGACCTC